AAGAGGAGCAGCTAGGATTAGAACTGGCGCCCACATGGGATGCCGGCACTTCAGGTCAGGGCGTTGACCTGCTGCGCCACAGCACCGGCCCCGGTTTTTTTTTTTCCTCTTCCTCATACTATTTGTTGAACTCCTTACTTAACATGGAGTTAATTATATGTGTATAAAGTAAATTGAAAATAGATCTCAGAGCTGGCACCATGGAGCAGTAGGTTAATCCTCCGCCTGCGACAACAGCATCCCATATGGGCACCGGTTCTAGTCCCAGCTGCTCCTCTTCCAATCAAGCTGTTATGGCCTGGGAAAGCAGCAGAAGAAGGCCCAAATGCTTGGGCCCCTGCACCCACATGGGAAACCGGGAAGAAGCTCCTGGTTCCTGGCTTCAGACTGGTGCAGCTCCAGCCATGCGGCCACCTGAGGAGTGAACCAACAGAAGAAAGACCTTTCTCTCTGTTCCTCCCTGTCACTGTCTGTATCTCTACCTCTCAAATAGATAAATAAAATCTTTTAAAAAATAGATCTCAGTAAAAAATAAGAATGGGAATAAGAGAAGAAGGAGGAAGTTTGTAACTATAAAGCTGTATAGTTTTGCGTACATTCCTACAGACTTACATCTAAGGGTACAGTTTAAAAACTTGCCATGAGACCCCAAATCCCATTAAGCTGGTTGGTAAAAATGCAGTCTTAAGAGTGAAAGTGATCATAGATAGTATTAAGTGTTAAAGGGATTATATAAATAAGATCAAGGGTCTGGTAATAATAATAGACAGAATTAAAAAGGAGAGAATGTTCCAACATGGGAAGCAGTCCACATAGCAGATTCATAGAATGACAATTGCACTAAATAGCACTCTGGCCTCAGAATCAACCTTTAAGCCATTCTGGTCTGGCTGAAAAGCCCATGAGAACATTTCAGGGATGGAAAACCAAGACACTATGGCAAATAAATGTCCTACATGAAGGATCTCTGTGAGACCCCAGGGGAAAAAAGTGGCCATCAAAGAAGGTTGTACTTTTCTCTGAAGGGAGGAGAGAACTTTACTTTGCTTATGGCCTTGTCTAAATACTGACAGAGTTTGTGGATTCAAAAGGCTTCCATAGCAGTGGAAGCTCAAGTCAAGAGCCTTGGGTGATCACTGACATCATATATAAGGGTGTCAATTGTTAAATTAACAACAAGAGTCACTGTGCACTACTTCCCATCCAGGACCTCTGTTCTCAAAGAGTTGTACTATGAAAATTAGCTGTAAAACTTGTTCTCAAACAGGTGTGTGTGTGTGTGTGTGTACAAATTGTTGAAATCTTTACTTAGTATGGAATTGGTCTTCTGTGTATAAAGTTAATTGAAAATGAATCTTAATGGAGAATGGGACAGGGAATGGGAGACAGAGGAGGAGGTGGGGTAGGAGAGTGGGTAAGGTGGGAAGAATCACTATATTCCTGAAGTTGTACTTAAGAAATTTGTACTCAGGGCCAGCACTGTGGCATAGCAGGAAAAGCTGCCTCCTGCAGTGCCAGTATCCCATGTGGGCACCAGTTTGAGTCCTGGTTGCTATACTTCCGATTCAGCTCTCTGCTCTGGCCTGGGAAAGCAGTGGAAGATGGCCCAAGTCCTTGGGCCTCTATACCCGCATGGGAGACCCAGAAGAAGTTCCTGGCTCCTGGCTTTGGATGGCACAGCTCCGGCCGTTGCGGCCATCTGGGGAGTGAACCAGCAGATGGAAGACCTCTCTCTCTCTGCCTCTCCCTCTCTCTGTGTGTAACTCTGACTTTCAAATAAATAAATAAATCTTTTTTTAAAAAAAAAGAAATAAATTTGTACTCATTAAATAAAAGGTTTCTTTGGGAAAAAAAAGGTAGGGGAATGATTGCTATTTCTAAATAAATAAAATGCTGTTTGGAACACCTGCATCCCCATATTGGAGTGCTGGGTTTGAGTCCTGGCTCCGCTCCAATCTCAGCAGGGGTAGGTCAAGTGGTTGGGTCCCTGCCACTCAAATGGGAGACTTGGATTGAGTCTCCAGCTCCAACTGGTGAAGGCATTTAGTGAGTGAACCAGCAGACCCAAACCTTCTCTGTGTATCTGTTTCTCTCTCTTTCTCTTTGTCTCTCAAATACATTTTTAAGAAAATTTATTTATTTATTTATTTATTTGAAAGGCAGAGTTATAGAAAGGCAGAGACCTCTGAGAGAGAGAGAGAGAGAGAGAGAGAGGTCTTCCATCCACTGGTTCACTCTCCAGATGGTCGCAGTGGCTGGAGCTGTGCTGATCTGAAGCCAGGAGCCAGGATCTTCTTCCCAGTCTCCCACGTGAGTGCAGGGGCCCTAGGACTTGGGCCATCTTCTACTGCTTTCCCAGGCCAGAGCAGAGAGCTGGATTAGAAGTTGAGCAGCTGGACTCGAACTGGCACCCTATAGGATGCTGGCACTGCAGGCGGCAGCTTTATTGGCTACACCACAGCGCTGGCCCTGTGAGAGATATTCCATTCGCTAAATGGTTGAAACTGCTAGGGAAGGATCAGGAAGAAGCCAAGAACCTGGAGCTTCATCCGGGTCTCCCACATGGGTGCAGGGGCCCAAGCGGTTGGGCTGTCTTCCATTGCTTTCCTATGCGCATCTGCAGGGAGCTGGATGGGAAGTGGAGCAGCCGGCACTCTAACTGGTGCCCGCATAGGCTACCAGCACTGCATGTGGCGGCTTTTACCCTCTACGCCGCTGTGCCAGCCCCCCAAGCTGTGTCTTATCTGCTGCGCCAAACACTTGTCCCGCATCGAATACTCTAGTTCAGGCATCTCTGCTTCTGCGTGTGATTGTTTCCTGACATCGATACGCTCAGATTTCGTTGATTTTTCTGCGAGGCCTTCTCGACTGAGAAGATAGCGAGCTGCTGTTGGAGTCTTGGAGGAAGCGCTGCTCACATGGAATGCTTAGATGGACCGTGCAGTGTGTGGTGAAGTTTGTGAGAGTGAGAACAGATGGCCAGCCAAGTGCCCATTCACCTGTCCTAGAATCAGCCGGCGACGGACGGCAGAACAGCCTGACCCGGAAATCCAGAGCAGACAGCACCACCCTCAAGTGTTTGCTGGCCCTCAGCCTGGCACGCACTGCATCTGCAGCCTGGGGAGACTAGGTAAGAGGTTTCAGTGTCAAGCTCAAGGTCACACTGTTGGTCGGTAGCAATGTTGGACAGGACTAGCCGTCAGCTCTTCTGCTGCTGTGTCATTCACTTACCCAAGTGAGCACCGAGCCTCTGTAGTGTATTAGTTGCAGCACAAATCAAGTTTATGTAATAAAGAGAGTCCTCAATTTTTCTTCTACAGAACATTCCAGAAGAGGACAGGTGCTCCAGGGCAGGCAGACAGCTGTGCCCAGGAGGTCGTCCAGGAACCCAGACTTCTTCTATCTTGTTGTCTGGACTGGCACGCTTTTTCTGTAAAGGTCCTGAGAGTAAACGCTTCAGGCTTTGGGATCCACGCAAGCATGGCACTGCTATTCAGTTGTGCTAATGTAGACACAGACGATAGGGAACTCTCTCCAGGTCAGGGATGAGGCCTGGGGCTATTCCTCATCAGCACAGGCCTGGCACAGAATGACCATGGTGTGATCACTACTGGATAAGCTATGGCAGAGAGAGCAAGGGTAAGAGGCTGAGAAGAGGAGAGCCTGGGGACAGGCGGCCCCCTCTGCGAGCAGAGCCCACAGTGCTCCCACGGCGGTCAAGTGGTCACCTCAGGACCTGCGTGGGGATGGCTGTCCTGCTCGCAGCTTCTCTCTGTCTCCCCAGAGGGCATGAGGTCCCCACTGGCTGTCCATGGCACCTCATCTCCACTTTCCTGCCCTGGCCGTAATGATGGATGCCAAACATGAGAGTCCTGTCCCAGAAAGTTTCAAACGAGCTAAGACAAGAACTCCTTCCCTTCTGCTTCTGAGAGCGGGAGACTAGATCCCTACAGTCATGAGCCTGGGTTCCTGCAGCCAGGGGCAGCTCCCTGGAGAAGGCCAGCCTGACACCCAGGGAGAAGCGGTCAGAGAGCCAGAGAGAGAAGGCAACACGAGCCAAGAAATTCCACTTGTGCGGAAGAGAGTTCCTGCTGAATTCCTCTCCCTTGAAGTCTGTCAGCCATCTTTCTCCCCAAAATGCAGCATGATTCTGGGTGCTTCTCGCCACCTCCCCTGCCGCCAGCCTGGTCCAGCCACCAGGGTCTCCTCCCAGGGGTCTTCCTCTGCCTCTCTGGCTCCCCTAAAATTCCTCCTCCACCCAATAGGCCAGGAGACCTTAAATGGATGTCAGTTACATCCTGTCACTTCCTGCCTCATGACCCTGTCACTTCCTGCCTCATGACTCTGAGGGCAAAATCCCAACTCTTCACCTGGTTTCTCAAGGCCCTGGCTGATCTGCTCCCCATCCCCTCCCCCATCTCTCTTCAGCACTCCCGGGCCATAGCAGAGAGCTGGCCTGGAAGAGGGGCAACCGGGACAGAATCCGGTGCCCCGACCGGGACTAGAACCCAGTGTGCCGGCACCTCAGGCAGAGGATTAGCCTAGTGAGCCACGGCGCCTGCCCCTGTTGGATCTTGAGTTCTCTGTGCCGAAATGGGAACCTTGCTGAGCCAACCTAGATGGTTGCAGGCGTGGCAAGGAGCCAGTGTGCAGAAAAACTTGTGTTAGAACTGAAAGGGGCTGGCCTGGCTGGGGAGAACCTCCGCTCTCCTTCCCCACCAAGGGGCTGGGCCCGGCCTGCTTTCTCCTGCTGGGTCACCGGGGCTCCGCAGCCTCCCCCAGCCCCACCCTGCACGGGTCCATTTTATAGCTCCTTGGGAGGAGTTCATGTGAAGCCATGACCTTCACTACTAGAAAACGCAGGCTATAAACAGTCAGCCTTGATTCCCTCGCTCTGTGGTTAAATATTGATAATAAGGAGAAACGCAGAGGGCCGGAGTGGGCACACCACAGCCCTCCCCCCAACACACACACCCTCTGATGGGACTGCAGACTACAGGGCCTCCCTAGCCCACTGCCCCGGGCTGGCGACAGGGACTGGCTATTTTTTCTAACTTGAGGCCAGCACACAAGCAGGGCAGCACCCTCCTCCCAGTTCTTGTAGATTGTGAAAGTCAGGTGGAGCCTGTTTGCCATCCGAGGCCTCTCATTCAAGAGGTCATTCCCCCCAGTGGCAGCGGGGAAGGATCCAGGCTTGGGGGGTGCTAAGGGCACAGCAGCCAGAAGGGCCTGGCTGCCGCGGGCTGGGCAGGCGCTGATCCAGCGATAGCTGTGCCAACCCAGGTGCGCTCAGGTGCAAAGACGTCTCCCGTGAGGAGGAGGAGGAAGACACAGTGCTGCTCCCAACAGCAGATCAAGGCAGGCCCCAGGAGCCCAGGATCCAGGGTGAGTCCTCCGCCTGCCCCGGGGACGGGTGGCCCAGGGTTTTTTTTTTTTGGGTAGGAACCATGGCCAACTCCCGTGATATCCCAGTGGGGACCCCAAGGAGACATGACAACTAGACTCGCTAAGGTGTTCTAGAAGGATCCTGTGACAGGCATTCACGGAAAAAGAAAGGAAATCTAGACAGAGCATGACTTTAAGCTTAGTGAAGATAAAAGGCTGGTGTGATGCTCACCCTAAGTGCTCCGACAGAAGGAAGTCCTTCGTGGCTATGGCTCTAACAGAGCAGGAGCTGCTGAAACTCGGTTCTGGGCTTGTAGATCTCTTGCCATTTTAAAAAATCTTTCCGGCCGGCGCCGCGGCTCACTAGGCTAATCCTCTGCCTTGCGGCGCCGGCACACAGGGTTCTAGTCCTGGTTGGGGCGCTGGATTCTGGCCCGGTTGCCCCTCTTCCAGGCCAGCTCTCTGCTGTGGCCCATGAGTGCAGTGGAGGATGGCCCAAGTGCTTGGGCCCTGCACCCCATGGGAGACCAGGAGAAGTACCTGGCTCCTGCCATCGGATCAGCGCGGCGCGTCGGCTGCGGTGGCCATTGGAGGGTGAACCAACAGCAAAGGAAGACCTTTCTCTCTGTCTCTCTCTCTCACTGTCCACTCTGCCTGTCAAAAAAAAAATTTTTTTTTCCGTTCATGTTTATTTGAAGGGCAGAGAGGGGGAGAGAGAGAGATCTTCCATCTGTTGGTTTACTCCCTGAATGTCTGCAGTAGCAGGAGCTAGGAACTCCATTCAGCTCTCCCATACGGGTGGCAGGGGCTCACATACTTGAACCATCACCCACCGCCTCTGGGGGTGCACATTAGCAGGAAGCTGGGCAGCAAGTGTAGGCAAGACTGTCCCATATGATGCATGCGTCCCAAGCGATGGTTTAATCCCCTGTACCACAATGCACGCCCTGTCCTTATGGCTTTTTGTTGGTTGGTATTACTGTAGTGGTGTTACTGTAATTGGTGTTATTGTAATTCTTTTAATAAATTTTTAAAATATTTATTTATTCTACTTGAAAGTCAGAGTTACACACAGAGAGAAGGAGAGGCAGAGAGAGAGGGAGAGAGGTCTTCCATCTGCTGGTTCACTCCCCAATTGGCTGCAACGGCCGGAACTACACCGATCCGAAGCCAGGAGCCAGGAGCTTCCTCTGGGTCTCCCATGCGAGTGCAGGGGCCCAAGGGCTTGGGCCATCTTCTACTGCTTTCTCAGGCTGTAGCGGAGACCCGGATAGGAAGTGGAGCAGCCGGGATACGAACCAGCGCCCATATGGGATGTCAGCACTGCAGGCGGCGGCTTTCCCGCTGCGCCACAGCACTGGCCCCACTATAATTCTTAAAATATACACTGCACCATGGGTGTCAGCCCCCATGCATCCTCGTACACTTGTCTGATTTGTTCCAGTGATGAAATAACCAAAATAGAAGTTGTCATCTCACATAGAAATACAAGATATGCATTCATCTTAAATGCATATAAAGATACAAAATATACATACATCAAAAGAACTGTAGATGCTGCTTTCACGAAGGTAGTGTGCACTCACAGGGAATGTGTGCTCCACAGAGTGTTCAAATGAGTGTCCTTCCACGTGGGAGACCTGGTAGAGAGAACCAATGGATGGAAGTGCTCTGTCTCTCTCTCTCTCTGTCACTCTGCCTTTAAATACATAAATAAATCTTCAAATAAAAACAACAGAGGAGTTCCAAGCACACATGCTGTGTGTCTGGGCCCCATCGCACTGAGCAGCGTTTCAACCTTCACTCTTTCTCTGCAGCACGGGGGACGATGTGCACGGGGGACAGGGGCCCGGGGCTGGTGCTGGCCCCCAGGCCCTCTTACATCTGCACGGGGACAGAGAGTCACAGTGTGGCTTAGCTCAGTGCAGCTGGCAGCTAGCTGGAGCTGCAGCACTGGTCACCTGTGCTGGCCACCCCGGTCACCTCCTCTTCCCGTGATTCCGTCTCCCTCCAGGAAGGCAGCACGCATCTGAGTCGTCCAGAGACGACCAGAGATGGCTCTTTCTTTTTCTCCGACTGCCGTCCACGTGACACACGAATGATGGTTCCCACACAGCATGTTAACTCGGGCATGTATTTGCATCAAAATCTTTTCCTTTGAAATGTGTGACTGTTTCTTGAGCTTTCTCGGAGCAGTTGGTGCTGGCGACAGCTCTGCAGTGAGCCAGCCCTGCAGCCAGTGCTCTGTCCTCCCGTGTGGCTGTCTGCCACGCGCTCGTCTCCTGCTGCTCCTGGGCCAGCCTCCAAACGCTGCTTTGGGCTGAAGTTGTGGGGCTCCTGCACTCAGGTCACCTCGCTCTCGCTTTCCCTTTTTATTTTTTCCTCGTTAATGCCCCATGACACATTTTCACAATGGTCCAGATAAAATTTATCTCCTGCTTTATTTCTTTAGACTTCTATCTCCATTCCGATTCCCTGTCTCCCCCTCCGGCGGAGACAACTATGCTCATGTGGTTCCTGTGTGTCCTTTCATAGAATGTCCTCTTGTAGAATGCGTGTTGTCATTGTATGTGCACTTGTTTGCATTTTCATAAAGGGTGTGGTATTCCTCCTTCTGAGCCTGGAGGGTAATTTCTTTAGGATGTGGTCTGAGGAGCAGGGCCGCTGTGTCCCAGGCTGTGCAGCCTTAAGCAGACTCCAGATTTGCCCTCTAGACTGCTACCTCTGTCTACACTCCCTGAGTACCTGAGACTGTAGTTCCAGAGGCCCACCCACACGTGACATCAATAGCTTTCTGTCTCTTTTTTAAAAAATTATTTATCTGAAAGACAGAGCTAGAGAGAGAGATTTTCCATCTGCTGGATGGCCATGATGGTTAGGACTGGGCAAAGCCGAAGCCAGGAGCCAGGAGCTCCATCCTGGTCTCCTGGGTGGGTGCAGGTGTCCAACCACTTAGGCCATTCTCCATTGCTTTCCCCAGGCCATTAGCAGGGAGCTGTATCAGAAGTGGAGCAGCTGGGACTCAAACGGCACTCATATATGATGCCAGCGTCTCAGGTGGTGGCTTTGCCGACCACACCACAACGCCGGCCGTGGGCTACTCTGCTTCTGAGACAGCTCCCTGCTAACGTGCCTAGGAAGGCAATGGAAGACTGTCCAAGCGCTTGGTCCTCTGCCACCCACATAGGAGACCAGGATGGAGCTTCCGGCTTCAGCCTTCAGCTTGACCCAGGACTGACCATCATAGCCATTTGAGGAGTGAACCAGTGGCTAGAAGATCTCTCTCTCTCTGTCTCTCTCAGTCTCTCTGTAATCCCAACTTTCAAATAAATAAATAAGGAGGAGGAGGAGGAGGATAGTAGCCAGGACTCAAACCGAGGCTCTGATTCGGGGTGCCGGCATCGCAGGGGGCTGTGCCACCATGCTGGCCCCTACTTCATCGATTTCTGCCTCCATCTTTATTATTTCTTGTTTGGTTGTTCAGAAGACCCGGTAATCCAGAGGGGAGAACTCTGTCTAACCACTGTGCACCGGAGGCAGAGCTAGGTGGGGCCAGCTCCTCCCCTCTCGTTTCCTGCATCCCTGCGCCAGGAGCCGAGAGAGGAGGCGGGGGGAGAGGGCGGCGGCCATGTGGTGGTGTTCTGGACGGAGGCATGGAGCTGGGCTGTGCAGCCACCAGGTGGTCCCTGAGCCCTTGAAATGTGGCTAGTGGGAACTGAGATATGTAATGATTTACGCCCAATTTCAGCGGCTGGTACTGAAAATCGTAAACGATCTCAATAATTTTTATCTGGGTTGCATCTTTAAATGATATTTTTCATCTACTGGCTTAAACAGAACATGCTGCCAAAATTCTGCTCACCCATTTCTTTTCTTAATACAGGTACTAGGAAGTGTATTAAGCGGTGTTAGAACAGGTCACACACAAACACGCCATTTGTGACATTTGTGGGGATGGTCTCAGGTCTGGTGAATGCACGTTGCTTAATTTTGTAGGGATGCAGACAGGCTCGGATTCAGGACGGGATTTGTCCAGGCAAAATGGGGTCAGGTTTTCCCTTGGAAGCAGCAGAAACCAACTCTGAAAACTTTTCTTGCCCCCTACCCCCCAAAAAATGACCTCACAGGACACAAAACAGGGGCTGAAATGATGGCGGCTGCCCGCGCCTGGCCCGAGGGGAGAGACTGTGATAGGCCCAGCCCCCGTCACGTGAGGAGACAGCGGCCCGTGATTGGCTACTGAATGAAACCAGAGGGCGCGAGGCTTCGCTAAGGCAGCGAGGCGAAGGGCTGGGGCCTCAGAATGGCACTGGGGTCGCACGCTGCCAGCCTGGAAGCGGGATGGCCTCTTCAGGGGTCTCCCCGCCCGTCAGTGGCTCGGTCCTCCTGGCTCCCGGAGCAGGACTCCTACCCACCTGCGTGATGAGCTTGAGCAGGGCTAAGTCACTGCCACCGCGGTGTGTGGGCTCTGCTTCCCCAGGCCCCACCAGCGGCTAGCATTGGGGCTGTTCTGGTCCCATAACCTGGGCCAGAGGAGGTCAAACCGGGGTGGCATCCGGTCATGCTCTTGGCTTTATTTCCAGGGGTCTTCAGTGATCGTCCGCGGGGGAACCAGAAGCTAGGAGGCCTGGAGGGTAGCTGGGAACAGGAGCCAGAAACAGACCCCAACCAGGAGCCGGGTCATGAACCCTACTGAGGGGGCTGTTGGAGCCCCAGCTGGCACGTCAGTGTCCCGGGAGCTTCTGGAAGAAATGCTGTGGTTGTTTCGTGTAGAAGATGGTAAGCGGCAGAGGATGGGGTGGGGTGGGGGTGCGTCTTCTACCCGGGGAGCAGGTGAGCTGCGCCTCTGCCTTGGATCTCACCAGCACGGCGGGCGCATGTCTCCTCCCGGACATGGCCCGAGGCTGGGCGGCTCCATACCCACAGGGTTTCGGCCACACTGGGGCCTCTGTCTTCAAGGGGGGCTCACTGGTTTACTCAGCTACCCATTAAGCTCCCACTGTGTGCCAGGCACTGTTCTCAGACCCACATCTCTGCACGGATGGAGGAGAGAAGCCACAAGACACGGAACTGAAGTGTCTGGGGCGTGGACTTGAGAAAAGTGGATAAATTAGCCAGGGAAAGATAACGGGAAGTGTCCAGCCTGGCAGTGGGGTCACTAAAAAGATGGCGTTCGAATAGACCTGCAGCCTGTGAAGGAGTGAGCCGCACAGATTACGTGGGGTGGAGAGCATTCCTGGCGGAGGGGCCAGCAGATGGCAGAGCACGGCGGCTGGCCCCTGCCCCATTCCAGGGTGGCGTGCACAAGCCTTGAGGACCCGAGTTCAGCCTGGCCACAGCTGTGAAGCCAGCACAGCGGCCCCCACCTTCCTGGCCTCTGGCTCTTTCCTTCCTGACCAGGCACTTCCCGGGGCCAGCCCTGACAAAACTGAATTCTGGACCCACCTCTCCCCTCCCGCTCCTGCCCCCCTCTTCCCAGTTGCAAGGCTGCACACCCCCCTTAGAGGAGGGTCTCTCCAGAGCCAAGGCTGTGTCTCCCGTGCCCCCCTCCACCCCAGCCACAGTCTGGGAGCTCCCAAGGGCAAGGGGCTCCTCTTCGCCTTGGTTGGGGTCTGCACAGCCGGGGACTGCTGATGCTGTGAACCTGGTGACTGGGCCTGAGGGGCACCTGGCCCTGACTCAGTGCTGTGTCCTGTGTGTCTCTGCCAGCAACTCCTTGGAATTATTCCATCCTTGCCCTGACGGTGGTGGTGGTGGGGATAAGCATCTTCCTCCTGATAAGGAGCATCCAGGCAGACAGGTAAGGAGCTGGCCTGGGGGGTGCAGGGTGGTCTCTGGGAGGTGAGCAGCCCGCCTTCCTGGGAGGAAATCTAGGCAGGGACTTGGCTGTCCACTCCTTGGGGACTTCGAAATGCGGCCTCGGGCCCCTTAAGGACCCAGAGTTGTTTAAAAACACAGCAACTGGTTACCAACCCCTGGCTCTGACAGGTGCAACGCCCAGGGGAGTGTACCCACTGGGAAAGTGCTTCTTGCCCCTTGCACCTGTTCAGGAAACATCTCCAGCAAGGTCAACTCAAGGACTGGGAGTTACCAGAAGGAGTGTCAGGCTGCGGAAGTGCGCACTGGGAGCTGATAAGTGCAGTGTGCAGGTCAGGGCTGCCCAGACGCAGACGCGACTGGGGCTGGTTAGGGATTTCCTGCCGCAGCTTTGGGGAGCGGGTGTGGGGCCAACAGTCATGGGACCAGACAGTGTGGTTTGGTGCAAAGAACCCAGGATTTGGGGTCAGGAGACTGAAGTGCCTGTGCCAGGTGTGGGCTTCTTTGGCCTCTTTGAGCCACATTTCCTCACCTGTAGTGGGAGAGAAGAGGCCGTGACAGGTGAGCTCACAGGTGGCATCAGGATCGGGGAGCCGGTGCACAGGCAGGTGGCAGCTTTTTCTTTGCTGATGCAAGATCCAACCCTCCCCCTGACCCCTGCAGCTCCCAGACTGCTGAGGATACCCCTCATATCCCTGACTCCCTGGGGAGACCCAGTCCCACCCCAGCCACAAGGTCTCCTGATCAACACTGTTTCCCCACCCCCACCCCCCGCCCCCAGGAATCCAAAGATGCAACCGCTGGAAAAAGAAACTCCAGAAGTCCTGTACCTGAGGGAGGTCAGATCCAAAGATGACAGGAGCCTGGACAACCTCAGAGAGACCCTGCTATCCAAAAAGCCGGACTTCGCCCAGGAGCAAACCGAGCTAAAAGACAGAGACCTCCCATCGGTCCTCATTCCAAACCCATCAGAGTCAGACAGCTAGGGAGGGCGCAGGAGCTGAGCTCAGCGTGGGGGCTTGAAAGCCCTCGGGTTTTATGGTCTTTACCATAAAACAGCCCAACCTTCCTATCAGCAGACTGTAATCAAAGCAGAATTCTGTTACTTACAAAACCTTTTATTAAAGTGTTTCTGGAAGTGCACAGTTGGAATTGCACAGTTTGTTCACCTGGTGTTGCACACACACACACACACACACCCATGGGCTTGGAGCAAAAGTGCAAACTCCAGACCTGGCCCATGGGTCTGAAAGCCCGGCCAGGACTCTCAGCATTGGGCGTAGGTACTTCATCGCCTGCTCTTTGACCTCTGCCTTTCCATCCATGGAATGGGGCTGAAGACTGCGTGAGAAACGTTTTCACTCCAAGTTCCTGGAAGGCAGCAGAGTCTGGGCTTGGAATCCTCTTCTCCCCACCAAAGCCCTCTCATTTTACCTGCTTAGTTGTTGAGAGTCTTTGAGAGACTTCCTGTGGACTGGGTTCGTGGTAAACCAAGTTAGAAGGCCATGGCGCCCCCTGCCTCTCAGAGCCTTCTGCGGCTACCGTCGGGATCCTGGGGGAGTGTCCTGGCCGCAGGTCTGAGCCCTGCTGCTGGGGGATAAGCTGTGGTGGCCACACCAGAGAACTGATGCAAAAATGTGCTGTATTAACCCCAGATGCTTTAGCTTCTATCTTACAAACGCAGGCTTTGAACACAGGGACCTGTGACCAGGGGCACTGTGTCTTGCCCAGACTATGAACGGGTAGGGTGTGCTTCTGCCTACGAGTGGGCAGGCTGAGTGCCAGCTGCAGCTCCCCGGAGCCATGGGCCACTGCCACTGGAGAGAACAACCCTGCTCTGCAGCCTTGATGATTAAACTTAAGGCAGGGTCCACGGACAGTCCTCAGCAGTGGGCGAACAAGAGGACCCTGCCTGCTGGTGTGCAATCCTGCAGAACGCCCTACACTGGATGGCCCCAGCCCCTTCCTTCTTCTCTCGTGAGAGGCAGAGTGCTGGAAATAGACCTGCCTACGATGTCTTTTTCCTATCCAGGCTGTCAGGTGGCATTAATAAGTCGATTTTCCTTGGGGAAACTGCGACCTGCAGCTGCCCTGCCTTTCATGTCCACAAGGTGGCGCTGGGACATCAGGCCCGAGCCTCCCTGGGCCAAGTTCAGCTATTGCCCATCAGGGGCCACTGCTGGCCAGGCTGGAGCTAGAGCAGCAAAGGGTCATGGCAGCAGGGACACCGTGACTTCTTCCTGCTCAAGAGTGACCCCAGCTGTCTGGGTGGTCCCAGTGGCTGTTTCCCTCCAGAATCTCAGATGCAGTAGTTCCCATGCAGACCAAGGAGGGATGGGGGAGGGAGCAGCACCCCCGCTTGTCTCTGCAGCTCACACAGGAACGCTGCTGGGGCTGGAAGCGGCCTCAGCTGTCCCCAAGGTGGTCTGGGCTCTTGGTAGCGACGAGCCAGGCCCTGCCCCGCAGCCCTGTCCAGCGGCCGGGCCTGGAGTTCCCAGGGAGGGGCTCTCAGAAGATCTTGAAGCCCTTCAGGAGGGTCAGGGTGGGTGCCTTGCGCTTGCTCTGGGCGCGGGACGACTTCACCGTGACCAGCTTGGCCTGGGCCACTGTGGGCATCTCCTTCAGGCTGACCGTGGACAGAGTGTTGAACGTGCAGCTGGCCAGCCCGTGCCGGGCAGTGAGCGGAGCCTGGTGGGGCAAGACCCTCTCCTCCGAGATGAAGAGGGGCCGGGCCAGGGGGCTCTTCTCCAGCTCCCGCCGCGCCTCCCGCACCGCCTCGTGGAAGACGTGCTGCACGTGCTCAAAGTCCAGGCAGGCAGAGACCTCGAAAAACAGGCACCCGAACCTGCCGGCCAGAGCCGCGCCCTCGGCCTTGGTGACCTGCCTGGGGAGGAAGCAGGGCGAGGCAGGAGGCAGGCGTCAGGGGTGAGCTGCCTGCGGTCAGGCAGAGCCCGCCCTGTGCCTAGCTCCCGCTCACTAGCTGGGTGGCCTGGGGCCATGGTCATCTCATTGAATCTCAGTTTTCTCATCAAAGCAATGGGACATCTGCCTCTTGGGGTTGGCGGGATTAAGCAAGCCACTTTTGTGTCACGTGCCGAACACAGCACTTGGCACAGTAAACTATGGCTGGTCACCAAAGTCCCCTGTGGCCGGAGGAGGAAGGCTTTCCCAGCCCATCCCCCTCCAGCCACGTGGGTTCCTCGGGCAGGAACGGGCCCCCCACAGCCTCTAGAGAGAGGCAATTGTCTGGACAGAATCTGCAGGGGCGTGACAGGCGTGGCTCAGGCCTGTGGGTAGCAGGCGCCCTGGGTTCAGGAACAGATTTGTTGGCCGGCCTAGGGAGGGCCGGGGAGGGGGGCAGGCTGACAACATTTCATGGGCAGGGTGGGGAGCGAGCGAGCAACACCTGCTCCAGCTTGGCCCATGCCACTCCTGGGATGTGTTCTGAAAACACAGGCTCTGGAGGGGGAGGAGAGAGGAGGCTGGCTCCTGGGTAGGGCGGGTGGATTCCCGAAGACAGACAAGGCGGGGATCCCCAAGGGCTTGAGGTTCCACGGGCTGAATCCTCCTGACCACCACCCACTGCTGGGCCACCCACCCTCTGCAGTTCCTCCCTCCTCTGCGTGAGGGGAGACTCCAGGGGTGGAGAGGCTTTCTGAGCCAAGGTGAAGGTGGAGGAACGGGGCTGGGGGTGGGCTAGCTGCCCAGGGTCCTGCTCCATGCTAGGAGAGGGTGACTCAGACAGGAAGGGCCAGAGCTGAGCCCATAGGTCGCCACCTCCTCAGAAAGCCCTTTTGAAAGAGCCTCATCAGTGTTTGCTGCTAGGACGAGTTTAGCTTGCTCCTGCAGGGCCAGCGTTGCGAGATGAACTTTGAGCAACAGGACCCCCGAGCAAGTAGGCGCAGTGAGAGTGGGTGGCGCCGGCCCTAACATCGCCCAGTTTCTTGTTTGGTTGCAGCCTTGTGAGAATTTTGTCAGTGACTTAGGAGCCACTTGCTCTCCCACATTCTACCTTTTCAGCTGTGAGATGATCACGGGAAGCAACGGCCAGTGCTTGGCTAAAACATTTACTGTGCTCATCAAATCCTGACCTATGAAATCAGCCCTGGCCAAGGCAGAACTGGGGATGAGCGCACTCGCCTGGGCTCTGGGCTGGGATGCGGCTCCCTTCAAGCCCCCATCGTCTTTGTCATTCGTTCCCACACCTTTTGTGGAGGATCCCTTTGGGAAAGACTGGGGCCAGGACGGAGGTCAGCAGTTTGCTCCCCATTTTGGAGACCGACTTATTTTGGCCCCTCCTCCGGGCTTGGTGAGTCCTCATGGACCACCATGCGGAGTGGAGAGGCCAGTGCTCAGCTGGAGAGAGTACATCCTCCCTCGGCGCCTCCCAGGTCCAGCTGGTTGCAAACACAGTGCCAGACAAGGGTGCACCGTTCCCTGCTGAGCAGCCCTCTGGCCCTGTCTGTGACCTCCACTTCAAGTCCCACCCCTTCCATGAGCAACTACTCTCACTCAGCACAGCCAATGGTGGGAGGGAGCCTGGGGGCCGTGCTTGGGCGGGGCGAGAGCTGGCTAGAGCAGCCTGGACACCTGACCCAGGGAGCCAATCAGAGCGTCTCCCTGGAATTAGAATTGGGCACCAGATGGCCAGTCAGCCCCGGAGAGTGGGACTGGAAGTCAAAGGGCAAGGCCAAGGGAGCTCACAGAGACTCAGGAAGGTGGCAGAAGTGGCCTTGCTCTTGACCTTCAGGATCCGCCCCTACGCAGCTCAGATCCGCTTTCCTTCCTCTCCACGGCTGCCTGGGGGCCAGCACCCTCCCTCTCACCTAAGGAGGAGGGCATCCCTGTTCCCAGCAGGAGACAGAGCCGGCAGGTGCCCCTGCCCCGAGAGCGAGAGCGGAGGGGAGGCGCGCGCTCACCGGTACTGGGCCATGTCCAGCTTGTTGCCCAGCAGCAGAGCAGGGAAGCCACGCTGTGTCTCCTTGGCGTGCAGAGCCAGCAGCTCCAGGTAGCTGCTGCTGCCCTCGAAGCTCTGGCGGCTGTCCACGCTGTACACCACCAGGAAGGCGTGTGCCCAGTTCAGGTAGCGCTCGCAGTTCCTGGGGGTGTCCTGGTGACAGAGAGACGCCCCTCGCAGGGGCAGTGGGGGGTAAACGCTTTCACCTGAGCTCTCCTCGCCCAGCTCCCAGCTCCCAGCTCCCCGCTCCCTGGGTCTTTGTATATTGTCCCCTGACACAGCCCTTCTCAAAGGGGCACTTGACTGTGGATTGGGCCTGGCATGAAAGGAGACATTGTCTCATGAGCTCCCCCCCCCCACCCCTACATCACCCAACCAGAGCCTTGGAGACCGTGGCTGCTTGGGTACAGAGCCATGGCTGCCACAGAGACCTGGCTGTCCCTGGCACTGCTAGTTTCGGGTCAAGTTCATGATGCCCCTTGGGCTTCTGAGAGTAACACCCTGCTTTGGGGAGGTGTTCATGCTGGAGAGGGGCTCCCTCCTGGAACGTCTGTGTGAACAGGGGCACACCTGTCCCCATGTGTGCACGAGCATGAAGCCCCATCCCGCGAGATTCCAGAGCTGATCCAGTAACCATGAGGTCTCCCCAGGCCCCGTCCCAACCTCCTCCTTTGGCAAATGAAGGAGTCAGGCCCACTGAGCTCAGCCCTCACTCAGGGTCACACAGCAAGGACCCAGATTCCTAGCTGAGCCCCACCCCCTCCCCCACACCACCCTAGGCCAGGGCTCCTGGGCGGAGGGGGCAGCGTTACCGGGTCTGCGGTGTCCATGACCCTCAGGTGCACAGCCTGGTGGTCCACGGTCTCCTCGGAGCTGTAGGTGTCCTCTGCAACACACACAGTCAGCGGCTCAGAGGCGGGGCCGGGCTCCTCTGCACTGGAGCCAGGGGACCCTCATGTGGGATGTGGCAGGACCTCCCACCAGCAGTCACTCAGATGCCACAGCCGGGGGCACAGGACCACAATGACAATCACCCTCACGACCCCAGCCCTCCCCTGCACCATGGCCCCTGCCCGTGAGCACACTAGGTCCTCAGCTTTCCCCAGATGTCCTCTGTCCCCTGTCACCCCAAAGAAGACCCCACTGAGCAGAAACGGGGTGCTCTCTGCCTTCCAGTGTGAGGAGGCAGCCCTAGCCCTGGCTGAGTTCACAATGAGATCCTTCTCTCTGAGATCCGTGGGCCAAACCAGTCCTGGACACCCTCTGGGACACAAAGCTGGCAGGTGGCCAGTGTGGCCCACTGGCCCGATGGGCAGCCCAGGTGCAGGAGCTGCACTGCCAGACTCCAGGGCCCCCAGGCTGCTCCACCCACTGCCTGCAGGACCCCCCCCCACCCCCCGCCCAAGGTGACACTCCTGCCCCCCAGGGAGAAGCAGGAGGGAGAAGAGAAGCAGGGGAGGGGAGTGCGGGCAATCATTCCCAGTCGGAGATGTGGAATCAAAGCCAACTTAGCTACTTCTCAGCGGCGCGGCTGAGCCAACCCACTCGGGCTCTCGGAGGCGGCTTCCTGGTTTTGAAATGGGATTAGGAAGGCAGCACGGCCAACAGGCTTTCCAAGGCCTTGCTCTGTGACCGGTGAGTGCTAAGTGTTCTTCCCGGCACCTCGCGGGGCTGGGTGAAGGCTGGGTGTTCTCTGGAAAGGGCTGGGGGGCCGTGCGGATGCTTCCTGGTCCACAGGGCAGGCTCACATTCCTGGGCGATTTTTTCTAATTTTTACTTTTTATTTTGAAATAACTTTAGACAGATGTAAAAGTTGCAAAATAGCAAATAGTTTCCATGGACTTGTTACTCAGCTTCCTCTAATGCAAACATCCCATACAGCCACAAAGCACACCCAGCAAAGCGCGAAGGGGCCCTCGTTATCACACCGTGCACTAAATTAGGGACCTTATTTGGACTGCATGAGCTGCTGGTTTTTTTTTTTCCTTCAGGTCTCCAGATCTCAAACCTCCGAAAGCAGGAGGTGGCCAGGTCTGCAAAGGGGACCTCATTGCCATTCTCCCTGCCACCAGCCTTCGTCCATGCCAGACGCCGTGGGCCACGTGTGAGAGTGCACTTGGTTCTCGCCTTTCCCTGGATGTCCCCTACCCCATGTCACCCCAAAATCCCTACTGGGCAGACCTGGGCATGTTCTCTGCCTTCTCGGCAACACCCACTGTGAGGAGAGCAGCCCCAGCCCCGGCCAAGTTCACAGTCAAGCTCTTCTCTCGGAGGGCCACCGGCCGCCAAGCCAGGCCTGGACACCCTCCAGATCTGCTAGCATCCAGCATGAATCACAGACAGCCTCTCGTCCCCAGCCTGTTTGGGGACTTGGAAAAATAGCTGCTCTTATGCAAAGACAAAAAAAAAAAAATCT